AGGTTTGTCAGGTTTTGCTAAGAAAAGCTGCCTTGAAGATTGCAGATAGTCCTGGCCTGAGTAGACAGCGTAAAGACAGGAATCAAGGCAAGTGAAAAGCCTTTACTTGTGCAACCTGCACAATTACCAAACTATTCAGAGAAACCTTCCCTTTTAGCTTTTAACTCTGCCAGACAATTTACCCTGTCTCAGCTGTCTCAATGCATTATGTCCTTCAAACACCCTAGAATTACATTTGGAGCCAGCAAGTGCTGCTGGCTCCATGAGAGAGGCTGAGAGCCGAAAGGTCAGGTAGATTAAGGCAGTTGATCAGCATCTTTAACATAAAGACGTCACAGGCAAAATAGTAACACCACGTTGCATTTAGCTAAGAGCAAATCATTCATCAGAGGAGGCTGCTGCTTTTTGTAGGATGGGCACAGAAGAGAAAAGAACTCACTGGCTATACCATGCATCAGTCACAGTTGTAACTAGGGACCTAGGAGACCTTCCCAGATTGTGATGCAAATTAATGTCAAAAATGCATCATCCATTTTGTCTGTAGCAATATATATTTTAAATCAAATGCATTTTAAAAGTCCTTCTGCCCCATCGTGGTCAGGTTCCCCCCCAACACAATATCGAAACTGACATTTCAGGTGGAGAGTTGCTTTATAATGTACTGCACTGATTTGTGCTGCTACAGTTGAAAGCACATCTTGAGAATTTCTGTGAAGATGACTTTAAAAAAAGAATGATTGATCCTAAAATGTTTGGCCCATTTGTTCTCAGTGGTGTATCTGGTGTATTTTATCATAGCTCCATTGTTTACACCACCTAAGGATCTGCCCCCACAACTAGTTAATAAATATTTATATAGTGCAGTAAATTCCCATGGAGATATACCATCATAGAGTTGGACACTCAAAAGTTTACAATCTACAGTAAACAAGGCAAACAAACACAAGACAAGGCATGAGGCAGTTGTTCAGGGAAGAGAGTGAAATCAAAATTATCAGTGGTTAGAAGGAAGAAAACATTCCTGGAATAAGTGATTTTTACAATGGGGTCTGAAGAGGAAGAGAGAGAAGACGTTTAGCAGGCAGGAAATGGGAGATATGCAAGCACCAGGGACAGCAAATGAAGTGACTCTAGGAGGACATGGTTAGCAGAGGCGTAGCGAGCGCCCTCTGTACCCTCCGACCGGAGGGGGCCCCGCAAGGAAGGGGGCCCCTAACAGTGGCAAAATAAATACCGCATTCCAGTTTCTGCATTGTAAGGGGCCCCGCCCGGACATATGTTCGGAGGGGGCCACGTTCTTTTTTGCTACGGCCCTGATGGTTAGAGTGATAGAAAATGAACATTTCTTTAGCAACAGCCTTTTGGATGGACTGGAGAGGGAAGAGCTGAGAAGGGAGGGTAGAAAGGAGAGTATTACAATAACTAAATTCCTGTCAATAAAGAGTTTAAAGTCTAATTTAAGGCAAGAACATAACAACGGCCACACTGGGTCAGACCAAAGGTCCATCTTGCCCAGTATTCTGTCTTCAACAGTGGTCAATGCCCGGTGCTTCAGAGGCAATGAACAGAACAGGTAATCATCAAGTGATCCATCCCCTGTCGCCCATTCTCAACTTCTTGCAAACAGAGGCTAGGGACACCATCCCTGCCCATCTGGCTGATAGCCATTGGTGGACCTATCCTCCATGAACTTATCAAGTTTTTTTTTTTTAACCCTGTTATAGTCTTGGCCTTCACAGCATCCTCTGACAAAGAGTTCCACAGGTTGACTGTGCTTTGTGTGAAGAAATACTTCCTTTTGTTTGTTTTAAACCTGATGCCTATTAATTTCATTTGGTGACCCCTAGTTCTTGAGTTATGAGAAGGAGTAAATAACACTTCCTTAGATACTTTCTCCACTCTACTCCTGATTTTATAGACCTCTATCATATTCCCCCTTAGTCGTCTCTTTTCCAAGTTGAAAAGTCACAGTCTTGTTAATCTCTCCTCATATGGAAGTTGTTCCATACCCTAATAATTTTTGTTGCCCTTTTCTGTGCCTTTTCCAATTCCAATATATCTTTTTTGAGATGGGGCGACCAGATCTACATACGGTATTCAAGATGTGGGCGTACCAAGCCCTTAAACAACAAAGCCATTTGTCACAGAGGCAAGAGAATAGAGAAGTGAGTTAGTCATGATTCAGAAAGAACTCCCCTCTATCCCATATTGTGGAAAGGTTGTATTTACATGATAAGAAGTGCCCCAAATACTCCATGATTTTTGCAAAACTTCCAAAGTTTTCAAGCTTCCCATGTAATATTCTGTTACCTGTTGAATCAACACCCCTTATTTAGTCTGCAAAATCATGTAGTATCCACCATACTCTCAATCTACGATTGAGTCTCTCCCAGCTCACTAACAATGAACTTGGCTCTGAATTAGTCACTCGACGTGTCATGGCATCTAAAGTAGAATTATGTGAATCAGATTTTGTGTGCAGAGACTGAATCACAATAAATACAGCACTGAGAGAAATCTCAGAAAAAACAGCTGGGGTTTCAGATTTAGAAGAATATTCATTCTCCGTGATTGCACAGCCTGTCTAATTGGGATAGACACGTGGCAGGAACTGTGATGAGAGTGAAACCCTCCTCATCACATTCCTATACCCTTTATTATTGCTGATGTGGAAACTTTTATTTACACCTTTTCTTTTTTTTTTTACACCGTTGTTTCCTGTGGTGGGGTGTAATCATGGGGAAAGAAGAAGGTGAAAAAGAGAGAAAGAAAAGTTAGAATTAAAAATGCCGGGACAGAGAAAGAAAAAGAGAGCCAGTATTAAAATACCCTCAGTAGACTGAGCTAGTCTAGATGTGAGAAATTATTTAGCATTACACTGCAAGACAATAATTACAGCGCATTTGGCTTCATTATGTTTCCCTGCACTGAAATGAGTGAGCCCATAGGTACTACAACCTCTGGAGATCCCAGTAAGAAGCAGAGCTCTACTAAAGATGCTCTAGAGAAGACTCTAGCACCTAAGAGAGAATGTGACCTAAAATCATTTGGGTACTGATTGTCCAAAACCTCATCTGATTGATTCCTGGACAGATGGCACAATTGCCATTTTGCCTTGCCCTAAATTCTGGTAGGACTCTGTTTCCCCAGCCCATGCATTCTTTGTCCTCAGATCTTGGATTCAAAATAATCTGATTGTAGACGTCATTCCAGTGCAGGTCCGTTGGTGGAATCTGTAGTGTAGAGAATGCTCAGGAGGATCAGCTGTTGTTACTACTGTGTCAAAACTGAAAAGCAAGGTGAGCGGGGAATGTAGGAAGGCAAGAGGTGGAGGGAAGGCAGGAGGAGGATGTAATTAGGTGGAGCTGTGGGGGAAAAAGAGATGAAAAGGGGAGGGGAGCACAGAAACTAGAGAGGTGGGAGGTGACATTGTTAAACATGCTCACGAGAGAGATTGTTCAGAGAAGGCAGGGATGCCAGCAGTGGAGTCCGTAAAGGTGATTTGGGGGGCAGGTCTCTGGTGGGGATGTGGGAGAGATAGTGACCCACGCTCACCCCTGGGGCTTGTCTGCACGGGGACAGTCAGGCAAGTTAAGGCGAATTAACTAAAGCCGTGAAGTTAAAGCACATAGCGCATTTAATCCCCGCATGGATGCACTCATTCAGAAGCAAAGTGGTCTTTCAGTGAACAAAGGTCTCTCTACTTCTGAATGAGAGCATCCACACAGGAGGGGATTAACGTCACAGCTTTCCTTAATTTGTCTCACCTCCCGGAGTAGAGAAACCTTGGGTGATTTTGTTCAACCTGGAGCTTCAGCAGCAGTGCTCGGGAGGCTTTAGTAACTCACCCAAGACTGGTCTCAGTGGGAGCAGAGGCAGCAGCCTGCATAGACCCATGGTGCTTTGACTCCGGCTGGGGCTGCAGAGGCAGAATTCTGAGCAACTTGTACCCCATGGGCTCAGGGCTTTAGGAACTTCCCAGACTCCAGGCAGCTCAGTGTGGGGAGTGCCACAAACAGCCCACACTCGCCCGCAGAGTCCTGGCTCTTCATCCTCAGTGGGGATCTATTTTTTTGTGATGAAGTGATGTATGCAAAAATATTGTATTATTTTCTATATAAACGGTTGTCGCTCACTTTTGAGACCCTCTGATGAAAACATTTATTGTTATTGTCTTGCAGTCGACATTTTAAAATGGTATTTAGCAGCAATACAGGCTTCAGATTAATTCCAAACTACCTCTTATTTTTTGCAATGAGAACAATCGGGTCCAAAGGAAAGGTGAGGGGGGTGAGGGGAGGAGCAAAGGAAAGAAAGACAAAAAAGATAAGAAAAGAATCTCTGCTTTGTATACTTGGGTGAACTGACTGAATTTTTTCTTGTTTTTTTTTTTTCTTTAAAATGAATACTAACCCTACGCAGTAAGCAGTGATCCATGAGTGTAACTCCTAAAGGCAATGCCACTTTGAGATTATGGCTGTATGAGGTGGGGGACAGGAGGTGTTGAATTTTGACCTCCAGATCCAAGCCTTCCTTAGGTATGGGGCTTGGGTCAGATTCAAAACCGGAAGGGGCCTGTTATTCAGATATGCCTCAGATGAAGTCTAAGGTGGTGGAAACTTCAGACGAATGTCTGATTTTCATGAATTCACTTTGGGTTGAAATGCCATGAGAACAGCTCAGTTCAGCTCTCTCAAACTTGTTGGTCTTGTCTGGGGCTCAGACTGAACTCTAGGCTTCAGTAATCCAGGTCTGGATCCAAACATTGCCTCCTTGACCTATCTCTGCCAATACAATTTTCAAATATCAGTGTAGCATGGGCCTTTTTCTAACACAACACTGACTCTGACTGCCGCTCTTACAGAGCTGCGATACTCAAAAGGTGTTTATGGGGGCTGTGACTGTGCTAATAGGTCTGAGTGAGAGGACAGCCCAGGTGTGGATTCGGCGTGGCACTGAAAAAGATTATAATCCTGACATCTCTTCTCCTTCTTCTGCAGGGGGTGGAGGAAAGCGCAAAGGCAAAAGCAAAAAGTGGAAGGAAATCTTGAAATTCCCTCACATTAGCCTGTGTGAAGATCTCCGAAGAACAATAGGTAAGAGGCCTATTCTCTTTTAGAAACATTGCAGAAACAAAGTACATATTCTCCACACCTGAGCGGCTTCCATTTAGCTCCTGTAACTTCACTGTGCAAACGATGCGTTTTTCTGTGTCTGAAGGAGGCATTATAAACTAACATTGGTGTTATGGGCATAAGACGCACTGACCATGACAACAGGTGCCATTGCAAGGCAGAGGACAAAGGCCATGCCCCTCTGGTTGTGTGTGCAGGCCCTGGCAGCCAAAGGGGACTTGCGTTTACAAGGTGTATCTCCATTAGACAATTCAGGATACATGCAACAGATGCTTTGGTTGGTCCATACGGGGCCAACATTGTGCATAACAGGCTCTACTGAGTGGAAATGGATCCTTTTCTGCATCACCCGACATTGCCTTGAAAGAAGTAGCCTTATATCAGGGAGTCGGAGACTTGGTAAAAGCAGAGAGCCTTTCAGTGTTGTTTGACATTAATAATTTAGTTTATTCTAGAGGTGATATGCAAATAGTAAACACTTCGTACAGCCAGGCAGACTCGCTCAGCAGTAGCCATCCAGCATACATGTCACAGCACTTTTATATAGGTCTTGTAAAACTTTTTTTTTAAATTACTTCAATATTTGTTTCACATCAATAAAACAAAGGTTTGGCATTGGAGTTTCCAGTTGCTGTTTCCACAGAGTATAATCTTTCCTGCTCACGTCTGGAAATTTTCTTGACTGCATCATTACCAAGCAATGTTAATGGGTATATCCTTGTAAATTGCTGCTGGAAAACATGATGTTACTGTTCGTGCAATAAGGGGTTAACTTTAGCTAGCGAAACTCCTCTTTTCCCCCTCTGACGTAAATCCAGACACTGGCAATGAATAAACGAAAGGCGAGAAATTGTAACAACTGAGATAGCAAATACCATAATTCGTCTGACTTCAGTGGCACTCATGGGACTTGACCAATGTGCTATAGCATGATTTACACTCCAGATTTGCCGAGTATTTATGCAGGGAAAATATGTGGAAAGTTATGAAACTGTTTTCATGGTCTCCTCCAGCAAATTTCACTTCCCTCGCTATGTGGTTGAAGGGAGCTAAAGAAGGGCAATGGACATAAAAAAAAAATAGCCCCTCTTCCAGTTCATGGACAACCTTGGAACAATTTCTGAAGGTACGGAACCTGCTGGGAGCAAGGGGGACTTAATTCCATGTGCAAATGACAATATATTATCTCTGCTATTCAATTAACCTTGGCTCCTAAAGGGGAAAACTGTACAGCATGAGACTTCCTGCTGCAGAGAAACACACAATAACCTTCAAGGAAGATCGTTAAAAAATTCAATCTGTCTCAACTTTTATTGTTTCTGAAATATTATATGGGTGTCATTTCTGACATTTATTTGTGGCAGTTCCCTCCTAAAATTTGTTTTCTTTGTATCTTTTTATTAATGGACCAGAAAAAAAAAATGCCGGCAGAAAGTTTCCCTTGGGGCGAAGTGGTCAGATGTGGCTTTGCTGCAAAGATTATTTGTTGATTAAAAATTATAGTGATTGATGCATTTTTGGTACAGATGGAAATAAAAAGAAGTCCAGATCCTGCCACCCTTATTCCTGTTGAGTAGCACTTTACACATTGATTTTAATAAGACTACAGAAGCACTTAGGCACTATTCAGCATGAGTACCGGTATATCACAGTCTGGCCCTAAGCCTAATATATGACTGTTTAAGTTACTGAGGATGAAGATTGGATGGAGCAGTTAAAACTGCTTAGTTTTATACAATTTTGTGAGATCTTTAAAATGGTTTTGTGGAAAAGATCTAGCATTCCACATGACAACCTATTTCCAAATCACAGGTCCAATCTTGCAACCTTTCCACAGATGAAAAACCTCATTGACTTTAGTGGGTCTAATTGCATGAGGGTCAGTTGCAGGGTCAGGCTCTTGAGATGGGGAAAAAAAACAGCCCTACATGTGACAGGCCACTGTGACAGGTCCTGTCACAGTGGCATAGTCGAACAGGATCTGTGCACAGCTGATTGCTTTGAGATACTGGTAGTGATTTTAAGTGAGTTTTAAGCGTGTCTGGCTCAACAAGGCAGGGTTCTGGAGTCCCAAGCTGGCAGGGAAAACGGGCTCAGAGGTAATTCCAGCATGTCAGGTGACAGTCCCAAGGGGCTCTCTGTGACCAAACCTGTCACACTACGTACGTGTGTGTGTGTGTGTGTGTGTGTGTGTGTGTGTGTGTGTGTGTGTGTAAAAATGTCTACCTTTCAGTGTGAAAACTTTTATTCTTCTGCACCCCACTAAGGTGTATTGAAAAGAGACTGTGTCTAAAAAGTGCAGTGTGAAAAGAAATCTGTGAAAAACAGGAAGGCCGAAATAAACCAAGGGTCTGCAACCTGTGTTGACACAATTATGAGTCAGTTCATACCTTTTGGTTCTCTCTGTGTTTACAGGAGACTCTGTGTTTGACTATCCATCATCTGGTGTCTTACTGAAAGACTTGCTTAATAACTACCCCCCCCCCTTTCTTCTCAGATACAAATATCTAAATTTCAGTAAGTAGCAATGTTTTTTTGATAAATCAACAAACAATGGGAACATCTTTACGAAAGTGCCATTTAGCCAAGAAGCCATTTCTTGGGTCAGATGTCTAAACAGCCTTTATTTATTTATTTATTTTATTTATTTATTTATTTATTTACTGTTACTATTTTATTTCGTCCTAATTACACAGCGCCTCTACCAGGAAACTATCTGGCCTGCATTGTGTGCTAATTACACGGGCAAGTGGAACAGCAGGGCTGTTCAGAATGATGCAACAATAATGCCTTTACATGCTCTGAATGGGGCTAGTATATTTATTATGAATGGCTAATGTATGTTTCTGTTTGCAACCCTCTTCATGAGACCAAAATAAGGAGAAGCAAATTGCATTAAAACAACTAGCATTTCCAAGAGGAGTCTGATGTATTAGTTTCCCTTTCAGTGGATGAAAACATATAGTTCAGACATTCACAACAATGAATCCTATTACAGATACTATTTGTAAATTATATACTATTATTTTTATAACCTGCAGAGACTAGCTTAGCAAAACAGAGGAGTTTTTAGGGGAAATTAGCTACATGCATCTTTAAAAAGCCCTGTTTTGACAAATGTAAGTATTTACAAGTTATTAATGGCACTAACAGGATAGTTAGATGGCTACAAATACAGGAAAATTTAAGAAAAAGCCCTAATTTTGAAGGCTGGAGTGCCTTTTTGATGATAAAAGATTGTTAATGTCTGCAAACATTTCTGAATGACGCAAAAGGTTCTGTGGGTTAAAAGTGTGGAATTTTTATTTATTTTGCTCAGACCCATTCTGTGCTTTATTCTTTCATAAAAAACTGCTTGGGTGAAAGAGTTGATTATTCTGATCTTTGGCAAATTTTCTTTCGTAACTGTCCAAAAGCTATATAATAAATCAAGATTTTTACCCAGAGATTGAAGTTTATGGGGACGCTGTGCCACAGAATGCGTCTGCTGTTTGTTATGTTACACTGATTTGTTGCATTACACCAGATTGGCTGTCAAAAATTTTAGCTTGTGGCATACTAGATTTATTGCAAAAACTTTAACTCCTTCAGTAAAGAGGATTCTTGTCATGGATTATAGGCAATAAGAAGGCTAACTCTGGTGTTTTTATCTTGTTTCGGCTTTAGACTTAGAGAGGTTTATAATCAAAAGGATCAACACTAACTTTGCTTTACCACTTGTAATGCTTGTTTTAAACAATAATTATAATTCTTCCCCTTGCAGTTAACCTGTTGCAAGTCATACGTGTCCATCTTGGTCAGGGTAAAATTAACTTTGAACTTTTTTTTGGCAGGGATGAGTTCAGTGTTGTTAAAAATACTCTTCTCTGTGTAAGAGATGTTGTAGGCAGGATGAATAGAGTAAATTGGTCCAAATTCAAACCATATCATTCACAGGCTGGCTTTTTTGTGAAAGTTAGTTTAAAAAAAAACAAGTCCCCTGCTTTTTTAAAACATGATCAGGACCTTCAAATGAGTGACCTTTTCAGATATTTTGGCCTTTATGAGTCTTAATGAAGTTCTATTAACAATTCTGTGATGCCTTCACTCCAAAGATCTCAAAGCACTTTAGAAATATATTCATGAATGAAACCTCGTTAAACTCTGTGAGGAAGGGAAGTATTATTACACCCGCTTTATAGATGGGGAACCTGTGGTAGAGAGGCTTGCCCAAGGTTGCTGAGCAATAAGTCAGTGCAGAGGCAGGAACAGACTCCACATCACATATGTTTCAACTACCACACCATCCTTCTGGTTTTTGCTGTCATAAGAATCATCATCATAAGAAATGCAAGTGTCCCTACATCACTTCCTACCCCCACTCTCCTGCCCACTGTGCACCTTCAACCTGGTTTTATGGGTCTTTAAGGATGAAAGGGCAATTTAGTCTGCATGGTCAATTTTACCATTGGCCAACTCTGCCAGTTAATTGCTAAATATCTACACAATTGCTATGTGGACGACTCATAGACTTTAAGGTCAGAAGGGACCATTATGATCATCTAGTCTGACCTCCTGCACACCGCAGGCCACAGAATCTCACCCACCCACTCCTGTAACAAACCCCTAACCTAAGTCTGAGTTACTGAAGTCCTCAAATCATGGTTTAAAGACCTCAAGGTGCAGAGAATCCTCCAGCAAGTGACCCGTGCCCCATGCTGCAGAGGAAAGCGAAAAACCTCCAGGGCCTCTGCCAATCTGCCCTGGAGGAAAATTCCTTCCCGACCCCAAATATGGCGATCAGCCAGACCCTGAGCATGTGGGCAAGACTCACCAGCCAGCACCCAGGAAAGAATTCTCTGTAGTAACTCAGATCCCACCCTATCTAGTGTCCATCACAGGCCATTGGGCATATTTACTGCTAATAATCAAAGATCAATTCCTCTCTGGGAACTGCACTGAGCCCAGCAACTCATTTTGTA